AGGCCAGTGTCCTAGCAATAGCACCACATTTCTGTCTTTTGTAACCTGACATTAAGCACCACTGCCGTTTACTGTGGCTGAGGCTATACGATGTTAACAGCCATAGCAGGAAAATTAAAACAGGCTTTCTTTTCATTTATAATTCTTGCCAATAATTTAGTCCATAACAATCTGCAAGTGCAGGTTTGAAAAATGTAATCACTATCTTCAAGTTGATTTGATCACGGCCATTATGAAGAATTAGCTATATGGATAGGTGGCTACCGCCAGAAAGATTGCAATTATAACTGAGGACACAGACTGAGTTGCAGGTGGAGACAGTTCTTAGAAGCTGGGACGCGACAGAGACTGATGAGGGCTAAAGAAGGCAGGAGCATCGGGAGATTCTTCCGTTCCCTGAAAACTCACCCTTACAAGTCGCATTCACAACATGGTATAGCTGGAATCTACAGTGCCCAACTCAGCTGGTGTCCTAAGCAGGAGAAAGTAGAGAAGGGCATCAGAGCTGAGGGGGTAAGAGTAGTAACCTCAGGAAAAGAGGCTGAAGTCAAGGGACCGGTGGGAACCCCTTCACCCCATCCCCACTTTCCTTTCTTGCCCAGAGGTGACTGTCACCCCAGCTAAATTCTAACCTATCCCCTCATTATTTTCCTAGTTAGGAAACTCAGAGAAATTGTGGGAAATTCAAAAATAAAAGACTCATTTTTTTTTTAACCTGGGAAGATTCCCCTGAGGTTTCCCAGTCTACCTCAACCCTTCATTCGCTAAGAGAGGGGGAAACATATGAGATAATGAAGGACATTGAGGTAAATCATAATAAAAGAGTCTGCACAAAAAAAGTGCCAGAGCTTAAAACAGATTTCAGGTCCCTGCACTCAGGACTGGACTCTTTCCACTCTACACGGATGTTTGTGCAAGGAGCTGCTTTGTGGGTGGGTGTGTGCACTCATCCCCTTCTACTTTCATTTTCCCTGTTAGAAACTGGGTCCAAGAGATGATATGCTAATATAGAGCATCGAATACTCAACCTGCTTACTTAGTGCTTAATTGATTCATCTGTTATTATCTGGCTCTTCCCACCCAGATGTTAATTTCCTGGAGGGCCTGGTCAGCTTCTTTAGGTCCTTCATTAGCACAGCCCAGAAGTAGGCAGAGGGCAGTAGCCACATCTAAAGTCAGAAGTACGGTGGGCAATTGAGACTGACTAAACGTAGCCTGGTGGGAAGGACAAGAATGAAGTGAGAGAGACAGACACCTTCATGAGAACAAGAATTTCAGGACTTCGTCTACTTTCTTTCTTCATTACTGTATCCCTTCCACTAGACCAGTGTCTAACACATACCAAAATCATATGTTCGCTCAATAAAAAAATAGCTAACTTCACCTATAACATTGAGGGACGCCTGGGTGGTGCAGTCAGTTAAGCATCTGACTCCTGATTTCAGCTCAGGTCATGATCTCCGGGTTGTGGGATCAAGTCCCTCATCAGGCTCCCCACTTGGCAGAGAGTGCACCTGAAATTCTCTCCCTCTCCCTCAGCACCTCCCCTCCCATTCTCTCTCTCTCTCTAAAATAAATAAATAAATCTTTAAAAAATTAAAACATAAAAAAGCAAGTAAATGACACAGCAAGGTTTCATACCCCAGTCTTTTAGTTACAAACCCAATATTCCTTAAACTACTTTACTACACATCTGTCACTCAAATGGACAAGACCAATAGTGTCAAGAAGGAATTATGTCAGAATCCAAAAGAATCATAGAAAGCATAATGCTGAAATCAAACTTCACCAACAAATACGACATAATTTGGGAAGGGCAGATGAGTAGAATCTGCCTTTAAGTGTGTTCTCCAAGATCTTACAGGGGCACAGACAATGTCTGCATGTCTGTCTTCGAAATTTCTTCAGAAAATAAACGTAGCATCAGAAATTTTTCCTAGTACTCACCAGATCATGGAATCCTGGGTCATTTTCTTTGTTTGCTCATTTTCCTGGATCTGATCTCAATCCTTTTTCTACCTTCTGCTTTTGGAGGGAAAGGGTCTAGTCTCCAGGACTAGCAAGCTTTCATTGTGAGCCTGAGGGTCAGAAAGGTGCTAGAACTCCCAGGAGACAGGGCACTGGCCTAAGACGTAGAATCACCATGCAGCACCCAAGGCTCCACCTTCCTCCTGAAGCACACTTGTCAGAGGACAAAGAGTAAAGGGAAAGTACACTGAAGAGGTGACCCTCTTTCAATCCAGAAAACCTGACTAGTGTAGATAACTTGCCTTGTGCAGCGTGGTATCGCCTAGTGAGGATGAGGCAAAGAGAAGGGGAGGTTACCCAGAGGGAATCCCTTGTCCTCCTGTTCTTCTCAGATATTGAAGGATTATGGTGGTTCTGATCTTCACCCTCCCCCACCTTCCTAGAAACCCAGAGCTTGAAACGCACTTTGAAATGGTTGGAAGAGAGTCTCCTGTGGTGCCTGGGAATCCGGACCTTGTTTAAACAAAGGCCTTTTAACAGTGAGACTGAGTGTTATCAGCTTTTCTTGCTTCTTATTTTTACGTACCTATAGGAATTCCTAAAGCATGTGCTACACGGTAGAGATGAAGAAGCTTAACTTCTATCCTGGTAGCTCCCGAAAAGTTTCCTTTATAGAGGAGCAACGTGATTGCAAGACAGGCCCCCTAACATCTAGGTAAGAATTGCAGTAACACTGCACGCCCCATCAGATTTAAATATGATTACAGAGATTACATTTTATTTCCTTTGAGGTGTTACACAAATTCAAGACATTTTATTTTTATTATAATTATCATTCTATTTCTCGTGTTCTTGATTCCATAATTCTCCACCTACCACGTTCGAACCTCAAACGCCCAGAAATCGTATATGTATCTCAAATTAGATATTCTCCCACTGATTGTTTTCTCTTCCCAAGATCACTAGTGAACGTCAATTTCCCCAGCCCAGAATAAGGATTCTCAATCAGGGAAAAGCCAAGGACACGCAGCTACCTCCCACCTTTAAACACAGAATAGCTTCTGATCCATCTGCGTCCCCTTTGTCCTACCTGATGGACACAACAGAAGACGCCTGCTGGGGGCTTCTCTCAAACACCTCGCTGCTACATTGTCAGTTACAATGTGTTTCCAAGGATCAGTCCCCCTCTTGGCTACTCATTCTGCTAGACTTTTCATTCAGGGGTGGTGGGGAGATTTCTGGTACTTAAAAATCTTGGAAGTTTCCCCCAAAATGAGGAGCCCCTTGTTGCTCTGCCGCTTCTCCAGCCTATCCTAGCACACTGCCCTCTTGTGGAGAGGGGAGCCACACTGAAAAGAACAGAAGGAAGACATTTTGTGAAAGATTGCAGGAACGAACACACACACACACACACACACACACACTTTCTCATACTCTGATAAATGAGTCCCAGACCCAGGGAGGCAGAGAGACAAATGGACAGGGGATTTCACAATCAGGAAATCAGCTCAAATGCCGTTTACCTCGGTGCTATGTCATACAGGGTGTGTCCCTGTAAAGATTCTATACATAGAAGGTAATACTAAGTAAACAGCAACAAACGCCTGGCAAGACGAAAAAGACGCTTCTGGGAACGTCGTTCTGCACAGCAAGGAGCAAACAGCAGATTCCCTCGTTAGGAATGGGTCAGCGTGCTTCAGAGCTGAGCAGTCTGGAAGTTGGGAGACGTGGAATCAGCACGGAGCTGGTGCTATGATAATAGAGTCAGAGGTTTGAGTTCTAGCTCTGGTTTGACAGGTGATTCATCAAGCATCCGGAGGCTTATATAACACCTGACCTTGCCATGCCTTCTCTTCCTAGTTTAGGGAGCAGGACACCTCTTTCTCTCCTGAGGGCAGTGAAGAACCACAGAGAGCAGCAGGGAATGAATCACATCGGAAAAGGGGCCAGGCAACCAGCAAGACCCCTCAACCAGCTATAACACCTTGCCTCTCAAATTCTGAAGGTTCCTTCAGACCGGCATCTTCTGACCCTTATCACGGCAGCCCCAGAAACTCTCCAGTTTCATTCCTATCCCTACCCTGCCTGTAATTTCCTATGGGATAGTGGTAAGAGAAGGAGATTTGGAGTCAGACTTCTATTTGAATCTCAGGTCCACCATTCATCATGACTGCGTATAAGTCATTCTCACTTTTCTGAGCCTCTGTTTTCCCACCTGTAAGTTAAGACAACAATATCTACCTGTCAAGGCAGTTGAAAGTTCTATAGGATACTTGATGTAAAATACCTAGTATAGTGTCAGGCCCATTACAGACAATCAATATGTAGTATTCTCTCCCTTCCTCCCTTCCTCCCTCCCTCCTTCACCTATCTCCCAGGCTGGGAGGTAGTCACATAGCTCTACCAATCAGTAAGCATCTATAACTCCGAATAAGAAAACAAAACACCTATTATCAAGATATTTATATTTGTGGGGGCACCTGGGTGGCTCAGCTGTTAAGCATCTGCCTTCAGCTCAGGTCATGATCTTAGGGTCCTGGGATCGAGTCCCACATCGGGTTCCCTGCTCCACGGGAAGCCTGCTTCTCCCTCTACCACTCCCCCTGCTTGTGTTCCTGCTCTCACTATGTCTCTCTCTCTGTCCAATAAATAAATAAAATCTTTAAAAAAAAAAAAAGATATTTATATTTGTGGATCTAACTATATTTAGCCCTGTATGTGAAGAGGAAGTAAAGTAATCATAAAGTTAATGTGGGTTTTAAATCTCTTCATATCAACTAGATATGTTTTGACAGTCTAAGTATTACACCTGCTAGGCGGTTCCTGAATTGGACAATCATGTTGAGGAAGGGAGATTTAAACAAGATGGATCTAAGACCGTAATGCTGTAAACTAAGGTATAAAACAGATAGAATGCTAGATAGTGATATATTATTAATTAGTTAGTTAATTAATTCACCTCCTGTCCTAAATTTCTCAACTCCTTCTAGCTGATTCCATTGATACCACCTATCTGCTGGCTACATTTTTACCCAGTTCCTGAACCAATCTTGATGGAGGCAGTAAGGAGAGCAATAGTCTCAGCTCCTTCTCCCCATTCTTCTTACCATACTCCCCAATCTGAGAAGACATAAAGTTGATCATTTTTCACAAGGGGTATCCAGTTATTCATAGTTAATACCCAAGCACTCTCAAATCTGGAGTCCTGTCCTGAACGTCTCACAGGTGCATAGGCTCTTCCTGTTCTTCCGGCTTCAATCAATTTTCTTTCATTAGATAAGAACTTCACACTATAGTCTGGTTACTGAGGTCCTGCTACAAATGGAAAGGACCCCCACACATGCACCCTGATAGATACCCTGCTGGCTTGGCACTTGAGTATGGCCATCACCTCATCCCCACTATGCTTCATGCCCACCCACACACCCCTGAAACTCTTGCCCCCACGGTTCTGCTCACATCCTATAAACCCAAGTTGCTCATTTTTGCCTACCTTTGAGTCTATAACCGAACTGTCCACCTTTACCTAGAATTTACCTCCATAACCTAGTTAGTTTATCTCAAATCACTCTCAGACAAGTGACCCTGAAGCTGGTGAGAGGTAAGAAAAGTCACCCAGTGGATATAGGCAGAATGGAGATCACTCATGGTCATAAAAAGAATAGTTGTAAGGCAGTAGCAGAGCCAGAGAGCGGGGTGGTTCAGGGAATAAACAGAAAATGAGGAGAAAGTTTAGGTAGCTTTCCTAAGATGTTTAAGTATGAATGAGAGAACTAAGTTGACAAGTTCAAGGAGAGCTCATACAGTAGAGTTGTTTGGAAACTTAGGGCTCCAGCAAGATGAGGACAAGAACTGGTGACATCTCAACATGTGGTAATCTCTCGCTCTAAAAACAAAACAAAATTTGGGGGAAGGGGCATGTCCTAGGCCTGAATATGTTACAAGGCCTAACACACAAAATGACATTGAAAAACAGAGAGTAAGATTAATAGAACAAATAAATATCCCAGAAATAAAATACATATTTAGGAATTTAATATAAAGAAGTCAGCATGAAACAAAACAAGCAGATTCTCAAGCTTGGTTACACATTAAGAATCTTGTAGGGAGCTTTCTAAAAAATACCAATCCTAGGGTTCACTGCCTCCCACCTTGGAAGAGATTGTGATGATTATGAATCCCATAATTATGATTTCACCTATCAGCATTGAAAAAAAAGGACTATTTCCCAGGAGAGACTAAATTATAGCTAAGTTGAGAACTATTGAGATTGATTATTATTATGTGGATTATGCATATTATGATTACTCGTTTGGCAATAATAATTTCCATCCTTGCTTCATTCTTATGCAAAATTAAATTTTAGTTGTAAAAATAATTATGTGTTTTAAGAAACAAAAAATAACAGTGTAAGTTATATTGGATTGGTGAGGACTTGGTAAGTTTAAAACAGAAGCAGCAGGCCCCATGCTTAGCTCAGAGTCTACTTGCTTCTCTCCCTTCCCCTGCATGTGTGTTCTCTCTCTGTCAAATAAATAAATAAAATCTTTAAAGAGAGAGAGAGAAGACTCCTTCCAATAGGGAAAAAAAAATCACAAAGAAAGGATCAACCAATAAATAAAAACATAGATATTCTATATAACTTAGTAACATAGTAAGAAAATTACTAAAATGACAATAAATAAATGGTCATGAAAAGTGAAAAACAAAAGAAAGCCAATACACCAAACCAAAATGTTTAACAAATATGGAAGAAGGGTAATGTAAGATTAAAGATGTTTACCTTAACTAGTAATTAAATAATACACATTCAAGTAAAAACAAGATGCAAATTTTTTTGTCTATCCATATAAGAAGAAAAAAGTGAAAGAATTATGATGCTCTGAAGAACCCTATTTAAATAGCCCACTCTAACATATTAACAGGGAATCTAAATTTCTACATTTATGGAAACAAATTTGGCATGTAAGAAAAGAGCCTTAATGACATTCATAATTTTGACCCAGTAATTTCTCTCCCAGGAGTCAATTATAAAAGGATTTTTTTTTTAAGATTTTATTTTTAAGTAATCTCTACGCCTAACGTGGGGCTCAAACTCACAATCCTGACACCAAGAGTCACACACACCACCAATTGAGCCAGCATCCCATAAAAGGATTTTTTTAATAAAAGATGTTTCTGAACATGCAAAAAATTTTATTATACTGTTATTTATTTCTTTTGAAAGCAGAAATAGGCATGTGCTTCAAAATAATCCCAGGACTTGAGCAATGGAATTGTGTGGAGGATATAAATGAAACACGATGGGCCATGCGTTGAAAATTGTTAAATTTGGGTTATTAATTCATAGGTAGTCAACCTACCATCCTATCTATTTGCCTGCTTTTGTATATACTTGAAATTCTCTACAATAAAAAAATTAAAAGTGGAAATAAATTTTCATCAGGAAAAGTGGGATGGTTAATTTTATGCATCAACTTGGCTAGGCCATGGTACCAATATAATTGATCAAATGTTATTCTAGATGTTTCTGTGAAGGAATTTTTTTTATGAGATTAACATCTAAGTCAGTGAACTCTGAGTAAAGCAGATTACCCTCCATAATGTGGGTATACCTCATCCAATCAGTTGACAGTCTTAATAGAAAAAGACTGACGTCCCCAGAAGAAGAGGAAATTCTGCCAGCATATTGGACTTAAACCGGGTCTCCAGCCTGCTTGCCTACCCTGAAGATTTTGGACTTCCCAACTATCCACAAATTCTTTAAAATAAATCTCAATGGATACATAGATACATAGACAGACAAACAAACATTCTGTTGGCTCTATTTTTCTGGAAAATCCTAACTAATACAAAGAGGGATGTCAAATTTTTATACAGCTATGCAATGGAATACTATAAATATATTAATTTTATGTTCAAGTTCATTAATTTTATGTTCAATTTTATATTCAGTTAAAGTTTTTAATAATTTTTTTATGTTAGTAGGTAAAGTAATATAGTCAGATTTAAAATTCATCAGGCTCTAGTTTAATAAAGGTCTATATTGGCAGCCATGCTTTAACATTATCTCTGTCTCTCTCTTTCTGACTGTCATTTTGGGCAAGTTTTATCACATCCCTGGGTTTTAATTCCTAATTCATAAAATAACAGATCATAATCCTTCAACTGCCTAGTCAGAGACGTTCTGGCAAGACAAATAACATATGACAGGACTTTAAAATTTTAGACTAAAAGAACTTTATGGATTTCAGAAATCCAAGGTAGAATTATCATGTTCCCCCTTTCCCCTGCCCCCGCATGCCTACTGCCCTCTCTTCTGAAGTATCCTTGCTGCCCACAGTTAAAGCTTTTCAATAGTAAATGATTTGAAGATCTGTTAAGCTGCTGTTAAGGCTTTGGTATTTCAGAGAATTTCAGGTCAATTCTACTCATTATTCCATCATTTTTTGATCATATGTTTTCTCCTCTCATATATCAATACCAATAATTTTTAGGAAGACAGATTGATGCAGATATGAGATGCACTAGGAGAAAAACCTGAGATCAAATGAACGTTAAATAATACTATTTCTATACTAGCATGGATTCAAGTATAATGAGGCTCTGGCATTAATCTTTACTTTGGCTTCAGCTGCCTTCTGCCCTAGAATTGGTCATATTTTCCTCACCTAGATTATTTAATAGAAAGTTCTAGGAGAAATGAAGAATGAAAAGAATCTCAGGGTGCCTGAGTGGCTCAGTCAGTTAAGCGTCTGCCTTCAGCTCAGGTAATGATCCCAGGGTCCTGGGATCCAGCCCCACATCAAGCTCTCTGCTCAGCAGGGATTCTGCTTCTCCCTCTCCCTCTGCGTCTGTGTGCGCGTGCTCTCTTTCTCTCAAATAAATGAATAAAAATATTTTTTAAAAAATTCTCTCCTAATACAGGCAAAGGGGATATGAGATCTCAGTTATGTCCCTGGGTTAGCACAACCTTGTGTGTGACCTTAAGTAAGCCAATTAACATATCTTTGTCAAAGGTTTGTATATAAAGCATCATGAAATATACAGAGTAAAAATATAAGGCATTATAATTATTTTTATTTAGCATCCAAGAAAGCAAAACTATGATAAAACCAAAGCTATATAACATACATTCACTTAGAAGAGAATTCAGAAGTGTAAAACCAGAGGAAAGGTGGACAACAGAGTTTGTCTCTATCCTTTTAAGTAAGACATGTAATACCTTCTACCATCCCCTCAAAATGGCTATGTAATCTAGTCCTTCTTTGCTACATGTTGACAGAAAGAATCAGATCTACAGAAAAATTAGGAATAGTAAATGCACGCTACAAGGATGCAGAAAGCAGTTTAAAACAAAGGGATGTGAATATTGTTAGAAATACCTGCCACCGTCCTGGCTTCTTGATTTGTCTTGGGAAAAATGTGGCAGTGACATGAACTTTAATGATTTGCTTGGGGGTGCCTGGGTGGCTCAGTCGGCTAAGCATCCGACTCATGATTTCAGCTCAGATCATGATCTTAGGGTTGTGAAATCGAGTCCCACGACAGGCTCTGCGCTCAGTGCAGAGTCTGCTTGAGCTTCTCTCTCCCTCTCTCTCTGCCCCTCCCCCCACTCATGCTCTCTAAATAAATAAATGAATGAATAAAATCTTTAAAGATTTGTTTGATTTTATTTTGAAATGAAAGAGGTAACAAGATCCCAATAGAGATAGGAAGAGAACAAAGATCATAACTTTATTATCTAAATCCAGAGGAAAACCCTCAAAATTTTTGCCTAATATTTATTTAAATTGAACAACAAAAATTTATTAAGTACTTTTCACCATCCCTTGCTCTGGTTCCCTCCTCTATATGTCTCTCCTAACACAGTTTTAGATCTTTTCAGGACCCAGGAAAGGTTAAATATAGATATTGTATCCTGGACCCATATTATCTCTCCCTCCTTTCCCACAAACTCAGTTTCTTTCCGTGAGTCAACATGGAGCAGAGTTCAAACAATAAACCAAGTGAAGCAATCTGTTTTGTACTCTGCCCTGGTCTGCTCCTCCTTAACTGTCATTTATGGGTAGCATAACTTCCTTAATACTGGTTTTTGCTTCCCGCTATATCCTAGCACATTTTATGGCATGTAGTTACAATGACAAACATTCAAATAGTGCTCCCCATGTGTTAGGCACTGTTCTAAGCACTTTACATATAGATGAAGAAACTGGGCCACAGAGAGATTAAGTAACTTGCTCTAGATCACACAGCTAGTAACAGGGATTTGGAATTCCCAGGTTGTGTGGCTTCGGAATCCGTTTTCTTACATTATACCATCTTCCTAGCAGATTCTTGAAAATATTTTCTCTTTTCTTTTCTTTTTTCCTTTCTTTTCTTTTTTTTCTTGCAAAATTAGAATTACCTTCAATATTGCTTTCTTTTTGACCAAGATATAATTCACATACCATAAAACTCATCCTTTTTAAAGTGTATAATTCAGTGGTTTTTATATTCACAAAGTTGTACAACCATCACTGCTATCTAATTTTAGAATATTT